ACTGGCTGATGATTGGCGATCTTTGAAGCCATCGAAAATCACATTGTGTAGGACGATCAAAGCCAGTCGGAGTATTAAACCCAGACACAAAAGAAGGCAGGTGGATCCAAAGAGGATAGTGCGCGAGAAGAAGACACGAAAGTCATCCTTGGTTTGGGACACGAGGTTGAGTTTGACAGAGATGCGGGCTGTATAGTAACAGTGGTTGGCTGCTGGATCGGGTATAACAGTGCACGATTTTGAGAAGTATTAAGGGAGAATGGGCGGTAAGTGCGTCATCATAACCGTCCAGTCGAGCTAGCAGCATGGTAGGAAGACAAAGCTGATTGGCAATGAGTAAATTAAGTAACATAGTTGGAGGTAGACTACCGCGTTTCAGTGGAAACTTGTGGGAACAACACGAATAGAAAGTGGAGGGTACATAAACTCAGAATAAAAATTAAGGATGAATGTGGAGTTTATCTAGCAAACGATACCGGTTTTATGCAAAAAAATAACTTGTCCAGAACGAAGGAATACCCTTATGCCAGGTAAGACACCGGTGATCAAAAAGAAAGTAGGTTCTTTCCATATACACGATGAGCTCAGTGCGAGAAAGTGATGGACAGAATATTCCAAAAACAAGCCTCCAGCTAGTTCTTGGTTGTTCTACTCTATGTAACACGATTTGGAGTACTGAAGAGGTGTCAACAGACTGGCGACTGTCAAATGTCGTACCCATCTTGCAGAAGAAACAGCGTAGTTTGTGCGAAAATCATCGTGGCATTAACCTTGTTTCCGCTGCATCCAAACTTCTCACGGACATCATTCTCAGACGACTTACTGGTCCCCGTGAGAATCGAATCCCTGAAAGCCAGGCAGACTTACGCCCTGATCGTGGTCGTATCGACCAAATATTTACTCTTCGCCATGTCTTAGAACAGAGAAACACATACAGACGACCGACAATGGTGGTTTTCCTTGACTTGAAAGTCGCGTTCGACCCTGTTGACCATATCAGCCCGTGGCACTGATTATCCATGAAGGGCGTTCCGGCCAAATTCTTTTTCATTATGCAGCCCCTCGATCGTGACTCCCGTGGCCATCTAAGGGTCTATGGTAAACCGTCTCCCGAGTTCCCCATGACAAGTGGGGTTCGACAGGGTTGTTTAATATCTCCTTTCCTCTTCAACTTTGTTATCGAAATGATCATGAGTGACCCGGTTCTATCAGAATCTATCGGAGTGTAAGTTCTGCCATGTAACCGACTGACAAACCCGGAGTATGCAAACGACAAAGTTCACCTTGGGTCTCATGCATTGGCCATGCAAACATTACTGCAATGATTTGAGCGTAGCGCTGCACGCTTCGGCATGCATTCTGCACTTTCAATGTGCAAAGTGCTGTTGCACGACTGGGCCCACACACCTCCGGTTTTAGCTATCACCGAACAGAAACTGGAAATAGTAGATCGGTTCACTTACCTTGGCAGCTGTGTCACATCTATAGTGGTCACATCACTGAGGAAGTTACTTCGCGTATCATCCCATCTGGCCCGTGTGACTTTACAGAGATGCAACTATTTATGAAGACGGCGGTCTTACTGTATGGATTAGAGGCCTGGCCTGGTGAAGACATTAAACGCTTGGTCGTGTTTGGCCACCGGTGCTTACGGAGTATTGCTCACGTCTGGTGGAAACACCGGGTGAGCAATGCTCAGGTCTGACAGTCGGCTTTTGGCACGAAGTCTGGTTCCTCACTCGAGTATTTACTGGATCCTAATCGCTTATGTTGACTAGGCCTTGTCCTCCGAATGCCCGTTGACCGGCTTCCTCGGCGTGCACTATACACCATTATTATACCAAGTTGGGTGAAACAGCGAGGTGGCCAGTCCATGACGTGGCACTGAGGTATGAAGAAATCGACTGAGAGACTTGGTTAGGCTGGTGCGTGGAGGGGGTCTTGAGATAGTCCACACCAATGGTTGTAGACAGTATCAGATATGGCACAGTCACGCAGCTAGTGACGCTCCTGTATTCGATTTCTTGCATCTGGTTGTTAATTGTGGTTCCATTCCGATTAGTTTAACGCACTTCCATCTTGCTTTCATTTTCTCTGCATTCTATTTCCCACGAGTTCCACTATGTTATCGTGGTTATTTATTGTTATTCTTACGATGTGAGCCGTGCCAACGGGGTCCACCGCACTTCGGTGCTCGGATCATAGTTGCTCAACTGAACTGAAGTGAACTGAACTGGAGGTTCTAGAAGGCCACATTATTCTTAGGCCTAATTATAGGTTGGCTAAACCAGCTGGGTATTGATATTTCTAACAAAAGGGTTCTCAATTAGACCCATGAGAACCGCAAAGGGTTAGGCGCAGAGATGCCTTGTTCGAACAGCTGTTCTTCCTTTTTAAAGTCACTAACTTCTGGTTTCTGCTGAGTTCCGTCGGGCAACTGACACCGTCACACCTAAAAATAGTCAACCATGACTTGAAAGCATAGTTCGGGGTTTGTCAAAAAATACAAATAGGAGGTTTATTATCATATGGCACTGGTTTGAAGTGCAAGTTGTCACCGGGATTTACCAACAGCAACTGACCCAGAGTGATAACTCTCGGATGCATAAACGGGATCTATGTGAGACCCGGTGCACAAGGGGAAAAGCTAATCTGCGCAGCTTCAAGTGCCGTCTCTATGACGAGCTGGGGGAAAACCTTCCCGAACGGGAATCGGAAGCCTTTGATAGAGTGCCTCACAGAAGGTTACTGGAAAAACTGAAGGCTATAGGCATTAGAGAACCGATGTTCTCTTGGCTGTCTTCATATCTAATTGGTAGACAGCAGGTTGTGCGCATAGGCGACCATTTCTCTACACCGAAAGCAATCACTAGTGGAGTGATTCAAGGGAGTGTTCTTGGTCCACTTCTTTTTCTAATTTATATTAATGATATATTCCAGAGAATAAGAAATGGTGTTGCATTGATCTTTGCTGATGACATTAAAGTTGTCTACTCACAACCACGTGCAAATACTCAGGAAGCCGTACGTCTCATTCAGGATGACCTATCCGCCCTTGACTCCTGGTGCCAACTGTGGCAGATGTCATTTGCCGTGGACAAGTGTAATATTTTGTCGTACAAATGCCAAGTACCGCCAGACAGTTTATTACTACAAGGTGCCTATATCTCGCAATGCAGGACAATTCGCGACTTGGGCGTGTGATATTCAGTTACGTTTAACTTTTCTGAACACTGTGACTTCCAAGTTTCGAAAGCCATGAAGACCAATGGTTATATCTGCCATCATTTTTACCTCACGGAATCTCGCATATCCCTTTACAAAACATATGTATTGCCGTGTATGGAATACTGTTCAATGATACAGTCTAATCTACGGAAATCTGACCAGCACACTCTTGAGAGCGTCCAGAGACGCTTCACGAAAAAGCTCTGTGGATATTCCTCAAAGTTGACATACAAGGAGCGATGCGATAAACTTGGATTTGACCCAGTTTGGCTTCGGATAATGAAGCTGAACCTATGTTTTCTTTACAGAATCATAAATTGTCAAATTCGCAGTCCTGAAAGCGGTGTTCACATATCTGTAAACAACAGATACCCAATACGTAACAAAGAGGTAAAGGTCATGATTCCAAAATTTTCTACGAGAATCAGAGAACGTTTCTTTCTAACCCAATACTCAAAGATTTGGAACAAACTTCCAAGTGATATCAGAACATGCTATACTCTTTGCAATTTTAAGCTTGCTATTAGTAAGCATTTAATCGTCCAAAACGTGATTAAGATGTTCGGGACATCACAGTCCCTAGATAACGCATTCGAAAACGGTATCCATGGTGTCTGAATAAATTTCTGAAACACATACACATAACATTTCGGACAACAGCCCCTTTCATTACATTTTTTTCTTCTCGGCCCAAATATCTATCATGTGATTGTAAAGAATCCTGATTCAGTGGCAGGTAAAAATAGCAGAACGATTCTGATTACTCTGTGTAACATAATTTGCAATTGCATCCATGTTTATCTCTGAAAATGTATTGCTGAAATATGGAAAAGTTGTACCATTATTTGATCTGTTCCTTATAGAGAACAGCTTCTCGCATAGTCGAAGAATATACAATTTATTTATTTATTTATTTATTTAAGTAGTCGTTGGCTTTTGAAACTGCATTTGTGGCGGTGAATGGATTCTGATGATGTATTACCGGAACCGGGAACTTCAAAGTGTTCGTCAACTGTTTGCCGCTGATAAGTACTAACTAAATAGGTGGATACACTTACGTCATGGCCGCAGTGGCTCAGTTTAAATATCACAAACGCGCCAGGGTGTGATGTGGAAGCAAGCAACCTACCACGGGTGATTTCTGGGCATTGTTGAATGACTATAGGAACATCGCAACAGCAAGCCCAGTTTTTGAATGAGGCTAGATTCGATGATGATCGCCGTCCACGTAGTGTTACGCACACGGGCGAAGAAAATGCCAAGCGCGAACTCTGTTATCACATGTTGGTACCAAGTGAAGACACCCACTGTAGTTAATGAGTGGGCTGAACACGTCATCTCGAAGCCAACATAAGCTACACATCGTAGGTGCCGGTCCGTAGCCTAAAGGTAACCTGCTTGTCTGGTAAGCCTGCTGCACGGGTTCGAGCCTGCGTAGGGGCAGGGCGACCCTCGTAGTATTGTTAGCCCACGTGCGACCGGTGGTGGCTGTACGACAGCGAGGCGTCGGTACTGCGTACCGGCGTACTGCTGATGGATTCTTTTTCTTACACATTGTAGGTTGATTCCAAGAGTGATGCAAGGACGCATGTTTGTAGAGTTCACGTGGAATTTCTAAGAATCGAAAGCAGAGGTGGTGCCACTACAAGACGCTCTTAGGCTAGGACCGTGAGGCCACAACAAATGTGCTTGTAAATACGAACTAAAATGGGACCTAATCACGGGATCGCGTGAGGGAAATCGAAAAGTATTAACTCAACATGGTGGATTACCTACTGTGGCAGCGCAGGCCAAATGGCGCATTTCGATTCCAGCATCAGTCAAGGCCAAGGCGGCTGCATTAACGGCGCATGCGAATTCAGAACCATCTGACTGGAGGACTTCGATGAAGATGTCGATTTGGGACATGGGATATTTCTCCGTACGAATAACGCATGCGAATATTTCCTGCGCGGAAGAAAAGAACATGAAGTGGGATACTGTGAGTGGAAAGATGTTGGAAGAATGCAACGTCAAGCCTCCGATAGTGACAGCCATGCAAAAGTGGAATGTGAATTGAAGAATACTACCATATATATATATATATATATATATATATATATATATGTACTCGCATTTCGTTGATTTCACCAAGGCATTTGATACGGTGAACCGCGAGACATTGTGGCTGGTGGTGGGTAAGTTTGGTTGCCCGCGTAAGTTTGTAAGTTTAATTGGACGTCTGCACAGTGGTATGCGGGCAAAGGTGCAACAGAGTGGAGAGACCTCGGATGACTTCGCAGTTATCTCTGGTTTGAAGTAAGGCGGTTTCTTAGCACCTGTCCTAAGTAAGATCTATGTTAATGCCATGATGTCTTGTGCTTCTGATGCGGCTCCTGCTTATGGTGTTCATGTGGAGCACTGTATTGATGGTGGGTTGCTGAACATCCATCATTTCGGTGCGAGAACCCTAGTCTGTGAGACAACTATCCGTATGTTGCTGGTCGCTGAAGACTGTGCGTTATTTGCACACAGCGCGGGGGAGTTGCAGCACATGACTAGTGCTCTGGCTTCGACAGCGGCCAAATTCGGGCTCATGATCAACACAAGCAAATCTGTCTGTTCCTTTCAACCTTCACCGGAGGTGCAATCTTTAATGTTGCAGCAAATCAGCATTGGTGCTGAAGTATTAAAACCACCTCCCGTTTCTGCTGCCTTGGGAGTGTGATTTCGACTGAGCAGCAGATGCACAGTGAGCTGCGTATCCGCGCATCGAAGGCAGCGGCGGCATTCGGAGAGCCTGAGTACCGAGTGTGGAACAACCATCAGCTTACTGTCAGCACGACGGATTCTGCGCATCGGTTGGTGCGACAGAGTTACAGACACGGAGGTGTTGCGCCGAAGTGGAATGTATGCAGTGGACTGCATACTATTGCTGAGACACTTGAGGTGGCTCGGTCATGTGTGGCGTATGAATTCGACGCGGATACCGAAACAGCTGCTGTATGGTCAACTGAGTGCAGGGAAGCGGTATGTGGGAAAACCAAAGAAGGATATGATCAAAGTGTGCCTATCACGTTTTAATGTTGATTACAGGCGTTGGGATTGGAAGGCGGTTGTTCGGCGTATATGGCGCGGTCTGATCACGAAGGCAGTTGCCAAGGTGCAAGAGAAAGCTCTTGTGCAAGCGGAAAAGAAGGGGCAGCTGCAAAAGCGACAGGCGCCGATGGGCTGTATTCCATCGATTTCGAGCGCACGTTATTTTAGCACATGCGGTCGCTAGTGCCTGAGTCAGGCAGGCCTAGTTAGCCACGAGCGAAGCCACTTGGGACCGACACCGAAACGACGACGGGTCTTGCTGAGAACGTAAGCAAAACCGGCGCAGCGTTGGTAGGTACGTTGCATTCAATCTACTAACCACATGCTTGCGTGCAGAGTTTCTTTATTTCAGGTGGTAGGTTCGCAAGCTCGTTTGAATGCATATTTTCTTGCCTCATTTTAATGTCTGGCAAAACAATCTGTTATGTCGCAAATGTCGCTTAAACGAAAGGTACTTAACTTCGTTATTTCTCCAATCTGCTTTTTGATATCTTTATCTGTCATCTTCAATTTACCACGGCGATGGTGATAATCTATTTAGATCATGCACTAATTTAGCGGGATATCCGAATGCTGTTCTAGACAAATTTTAATGTTTATTTCATTGCATGTGATTGGCTGTTGCTTGACATCCCCGGTATGGCTGCGCTTGATGTGCATGCTGACAAGATGCATACCCACCACCTCGCCCCTACTGGCGCCAGGAGACAGTTGGTCGTTGCTAGAGCGGACGGGGTGCACGGTACTAGTGGCCATGCTAGGCTCAAAGAGCAGTTCCATGCACTCAGTGTGGAGCAGACTACGGTCCGGCCACCGCATTGTGTGCGCCTGATTCCTAGATCCAGCGTGCCTGTGTTCGCCTGTGAAAGAGTATGGGCCGGCTCCATTGATGAAACGTGGCTTCTATCCACATGCCTTTCGGTCTTATTCCTTCGGGTTTACACTAGACATGGGGTGTGTGGTTGGAGCTGTGGATGGTGCAGCGCAAGTCACCCATGGTCCCTCTGTAGGCACAGGTGTCCTGAGGCTGGCCACAATGACAGGCAAATCCGAAACCGGATGCCGCCAACCATATAGTCCCAGATACTGTTTCAAGGGCGCTTTCAGGACTGTGCAGCTATTAAATAGGAGATTGGGCTATCTCCGTCGTCTTTTTCCATGGACCTAGACAATGCTTCAGGCCCCTTGCAGCTGCAGCTAATTGAGTTGCGTGATATTGAGTGATATTGAATGTCGCAGTCGGCACCAAGTACTCTCATCAATTTTTGCCGTCAGCTGAATAAAGACAGATACCAAGTCATCATCATCATCATCAACAGCAGTACATCAGCCATTTGAACTGATGCTTCGCTGCCATACAACCATGAGGACCTATGAAATAAAGAATAGGAAGAGGGAGAGAAGGGGGACTTATCTGAAAACCTTAATGCCCTAAGCAAACATTCAGGGTCAAGGCGCCTACACCTTGTGTAGACAACATACCGTCACAAACAGCTGACTATCGTGCAAAGATAAGGCGGCATCGGCGAGACAGCTTCCTTGCGGCTTTCACTGCCACGCGTCATAATCAGCCATTACCCCGCAGATAACTCAGCACAAAACACACTTTAAACAGGTAATCCGACTGGGAGACGGCAGCAGACGCGCCACTGGTGTCTACTGCGAGCCATGTCCTGTAAAGTCTCGAGCCAAGCACAAGGCGAGTCATCTGGACTCCAGCCCGCAAGGCGAGACGGAGCAACGGCACCCAGTTAGGTCGTCAGTGACTTCATTTCCCGCTGCCAAGTCAACTTCTGTCCACCTCGAGGCTTGCGCCACCCTACACCTGGCAGACTAAACAAGGCCCTCCTAGGTAAACGGGGACCAGGCATATGTAGCACGTGCCCGAGCCAACGCAACTTATTCAGTGCTATCTGTTGTTCTAGGGAGCTAGCATGATTATCACCAACTATTACTCGCCCACGCACATCGTTGCGGACACCCTGGTGCCATCCGACTCCAGCAATGCTTCGCAGACAACGATGATCAAGGACTTGAAGGCGCCTCAGATCTTCAGACCGAAGGGGCCAAGTCTCACTACCATACAGCAGAACGGCCCTCACTGTGGCCTTGTATACCCGGCCTTTCAGACGGAGGGAAACTCCCTTCTGTCGCCAAAGATGTCGCAGGTTCAAGAAGGTAGCTCTGGATTTTGCAATGCGCGAGTTGACGTCAGTTTCTATGCGTCCATCATTGCTGATGCAGCTGCCAAGATAAGTGAAATGATCAACTACCTCGAGTTCCTCGTTAGCAAGCGTCAAGGGGTCATCAAGTGGCTGGTGGTCCTGCAGAAACACTTTGCATTTTGAAGGTGCGAAGTGCATACCAAATAATGGGACCACTCTGGACAGGCTATTCAGGGTTGATTGTGAAGCCCCAACATGGTCGAAAAGCAAGACGATATCGTCCGTGTAATCTAGATCAACTAACCTTTCACCAGAAAGCACCTCAACGCCTACATCGTGAGATTCCGCAAGGGAACACTCCATGATAGAATCCACGACGAAATTGAACAAAAATAGGGAAAGCGGAAAACTCTGACGAACGCCACTTGTGGTCGGAAAGCTATCCGATAGGACACCGTAGGCCCAGACGCGGCCTGTAGTGTTCGAGCATAGGGCACGAAGGATGTTCACATATTTCGTGGGAACACCTTTCCGCGCAAGTATTTCGAACAGAATCGATCGGTCGGCTGAATCGAACGCACTCTTGAAATCGAGGAGCGCATCTACTGTCGGTCGGCGGTATGCGTAGTGCTACTCTAGCACCTGCCGCAAAGTGAATATATGGTCTATACAGCCACGTCCTGGGCGGAAACCGGCCTGCTCTTCCCTAATCTGAGATTCCCGTCCCGCAGTGAGGCGACGAACAACAATCGAGGCCAATAATTTTGTCACAACTGGCGTTAGGCTAATACCCCTGTGGTTAGAACAGGTTGTGCGACATCCCTTCTCGTATATTGCCACTATGATCGATTCGCTCCAAGTATCCGGGACACCCTCTTCTTTCCAGATACACTCGAATAAGGTCAGTGCTTTGCAGAGGACCTCACCTCCATCTTTAAATAGTGCAGGTAGGAGAGAATCCGGGCCAGCGGCATGAAAACGATTGAGGGCTGTGATCGCGTTTCGGACCTCAGCCTCCGACGGAGGCTCTAAACTAACCGTCCATGGCTCATCCTGCATCACCTGAATAGGAAAAGGTCCGGGAGCAGGGGGCCAGCTGAACTGATCTTGAAAGTGTCCCGCCCAACGAGCCATACCGCGCTCATATTGTGTATCAGCGCACCCGCGCTGTCTCTGATTGTCTCACTGACGCCTGGTTTTCTGGGACCAGTGGTGAGGATCAGCTGGAAGAGTTTGCTGTAATTACCTACTGCTCCTGCCTCCTCCATTTCTTGAGCCCGACTGGTCCACCAGGCTTCCTTGTCAGCACGTAGGCTCTGCTTTAGGTCACGCCTAATAGCCCGTCTGGTCACATTGTGTTCAGAGCCAGCCGGGAGGTGTCTTCTAGATTCCAACAGGTTCACCGACCTCTCGGATATCCAGTGACTGGTGCGGTGACGATTGATAGTGCCACAAGCAGATGCTCCTGCGTCGTGCATGGCGGCCGAGATCCTATTCCATTGAAGCTCAGCGTCATTAGGACAAGACAGCGGAAGTTCGGTGTGCAGTGCGTCTTGATAGGCTTGCATGACCGAGGGCTGAGACAATTTCTCCGTTGCAAATCGTAGAGGACGCTTGGTGCGCCTCCCGGTAAAGTTCATGGAGAAACGACAGCGTACCAAGGCATGATCAGAGTCGACACAGGTACTCCAGTACGAGCGGCAATCCAGAATGGAAACACGCCATCTGTAACTTATGGCTATGTGGTCAATTCGGGTCCATTGCTGGTCAGCTACAGGAGAACGCCAAGTAGCACTTAGGTGCCCACTGTGTCTAAAAGCAGTGCTACTAAGAAACAACTGGTGTTCCGCACACAGTTGCAGCAGACGCTCAACGTTGTCAGTCCGTTCGGAGTTAAGCCCACAATTACCACCCAACTGAGCTTCTGAAGAGCTCAGACGCCCTACTTGTGCGTTCATATCCCCTGCAAGTACTATAATATCTGAACTAGTAGCACTGCGTAGTAGCGCATTCAGTTCATGATAGAATGTGTCCTTGACAGCATTTGAACTGCAGTCGGTGGGAGCATAAGTGGAAATCAAGAGAAACAGCGCTTTGTACTACTTCGTGAACCAACCTTAGCTGATGTTGTCGAACGGGCTACACTTAAACGGATGTTCACCGGAATCCAAACAACCAACGATGGCTCAGCCTTGGAGCTTAGAATGATACCTACACCAGGTTGACCCGTTAGTGCTGCATCAGCGTCTCCGGATGCGTGCAACCAATAACGAGAAGATAAGCCGAGTGCAGTTAATTCAATAACCCCGTTAGGGCCATTGATCCTAGTTTTGAATATTTGCTAAGAACATGCTCAGCTTGTTAAGATTTACATGTTTGTGTGCGCAGACTTACTCGGTTTTGAATTTTAACAAGAACCGTATGAGGACGAGATTAAGTGATTCTCACCTACATAATATCTTGCGTATAAAAACCAGTGCCATTGGGCCTGTCCTGACTAGTTTACTATAAACAAGATTTCATTTTCACCCTTTATGTTGAACATCTGCAATAAACTTTTATTACATATATCGTTTCTGGTTATGATCCCCACGTCCAACTTAATGTGGCTCGGCACATATTTACCTCATAAAATGTGGCCCTTGCGAAAGTTTGCACACCCCCACTCAATACAGTCCGGTGGGTATGTTGAGACGGATCTGCAATTGTTCTAAGCATAGCACACAACAGACAACACAACCCCTTCTCTCGGCGAAAGAAAAACAAAAAAGCCTTAGAAACCGACAAAGCTGCTATCGATTTGCTTACAAAGAAGTGGAAGATGACAGGCTAAGCTTAGAAAGCGAAAGTCTCTGGACGACAGAATCACCCACACCTGCGTTGTAAACCATTGTGGAAGAGTCGCTAAGCGAGGACGCGGTAAAAAGATCCAGTTCGAATTGGCTTTATATATATATATATATATATATATATATATATATATATATATATATATATATATATATATATATATATATATATATATATATATATATATATATATATATATATATATATATATATATATATATGGTTGGCGGCATCCGGTTTCGGATGTGCCTGTCACTGTGGCCAACCACAGCACGCCTGCGCCTACATAGGGATCATGGATGGCTTGCGCTGCACCACCCACAGCTCCATTCACACACCCCATATCCAGTGCAAACCCGAGGGAATAAGACCGGGAGGCATGTGGATGGGAGCCACGTTTCATCAACGGAGCCTGCCCACACTCCCTCACAGGCACACACAAGCACGCCGTAGTTGGGGAATCAACCGCACACAAGGCGGTGGCTGGACCGTAGTCCGCTCCACACTGAGTGCATGGAACCACGCTTCGAGCCTAGCACGGCCACAAGGACCGTGCACCCCGTCCCCTCCAGCAACGACTAACGGTCTCCTGGAGCCAGATGGACGAGGTAGTGGGTAATAGACAGGTAGGCACCTTGTCAACATGCACATCAAGCGCAGCCACACTTGGGATGTCAAACAACAGCCGATCATTCGAAACGCCGATATCGAATAAAGTAAACGCATATGACGACATAAATACTCGCTAAATGGACATATGGAAGAAGTTGGTTAGATGTGAATACGCGATAAGTACAAAATGTCTGAAAGTCATTTAAAAAGTACCACGCGATAAAATTACGCAAGTTTACCACAGTTTGCATGAGCGACGTGTGTAAGCTGGGAGAAGATTATCAAGTCAGCAGAACAAAAATAAAATAAAACGAATTTTATCCACATTAAAAAGACCTAGGTTAAGTGTAAGTTGGTTTAGCCCAACTGCGGTGAAGAAGCATCACGAATGCGACATCAGCCTCAGCATAGGGCCCTCAGCCTCAGCATATATATATATATATATATATATATATATATATATATATATATATATATATATATATATATATATATATATATGCGCCCCTTGATGAGGCTGATGTTGCATTCGTGAAGCTTCTTCACCGTTGTTTGGCTAAACGAACTTACACTAGATCTTTTTAAGCCGGATAAATTACATTCCACTTTATTTGCTTTGTTCCGCCTACTTAAATGATCTTATATTAACTGGCCACGTTGCTTACGCTAATTGTGGTTATCTCCGTTAACTTTATTGTGTTTGTAGTATTTTTGAGTAACTTATGGATATTTTGTACTTATCGCGGATTCGTTGATAACTACCTTAATTCATATGCGAATTTGTCGCAGAGTTATGTCGGTGTAGCCGTATGATTTAACAGATATATTTTCGTTGATAATGTCATTTCAAGTGATTGGCTGTTGTTTGACGTCCCCGGTGTGACTGCGCTGGATGTGCATGTTGACAAGGTGGCTACCTGTCTATTACCAGCGCAAGCCACCCATGGTCCCTCTGTAGGTGCACGCGTCCTGTGGCTGGCCACAGTGACAGGCAAATCCGAAACCGGAGGCCGCCTACTATATATATATATATATATATATATATATATATATATATATATATATATATATATATATATATATATATATATATATATATATATATATATATATATATCATGATGAATCGCGTCAGCCACCGGCCGAGTGATCTGCGAGTTTGGTTTGCAATCATAAGGTCACCGGTTCGAATCCGCGTAGGGGTGAGCATCCTCGCGGTATACTCAGCCCGCGCGCGACTGGTGGTGGTCGCGCGGCAGCAAAGCGCCGTTACGGCGTACAGCTGACACATTATCTCTTTAACTGCAGGGTATGTTGAAGGGCGGTGACAGTTTGGCATAAACCTTCACTCTGCTCGAACTATGCGCTCCTTTGAGATTCCCAAAAAACATGTCGACCCACCGAACCGGGCACTTTTAATGTGGGTCGCCAATAAACAAGGTGGTGCTCCAATAACTGACGTAATATGAAGATGTCAATGCGGCCTCGATTTCGACGAAACCCGGCTTGCTCCTCGCGAATCTGGCTTTCACGGGTGCCAGTCGGTCTGTGCAGAACGATAGATGCAAGCAACCTAGAGGCAATTGAGATCAAACTGAATCCCCTATGATTGCCGCATTCCGAACGGGAGCCTTCCTTAACGATTTGGGACTGACGGAGCCGCTCTAATCTGCTGGGACAATATCCTGATGCCACAGATTCAGCAGTGAGTTACGCAAATCATCCAAAAAGCAGATCCCCCGATCTTGAGGAGACTTGTTCAATTTCAACAGTTAATTCTCACGTTGGACTTTTGCGCGTGAGAGCAGATCCAAGGAGACAGTCCAGAGAGAGAGAGAGAGTGATCAATGGCCGGTAGGACTGATAACCCTGGCTGATTAAAATGCTTCTCAAGTGTTCGGTCCAACGCTCTAAGCGCTTTGACAAGCTATGGATAGGCTGTCATTGCAAAAATCGTCATGTAAACATTGGAATAAAATATGCTGCTGACAATTAACCCAAATTTATGGATACAGTACGTCGACGGTACGTGGGGTAAATGAAATTTCGAACCTGACACAGAAATCAGAGAGTCAGACAAGCTAAATAAAGTACTTTTATACTCTACCATTTTTCTTTATTCATATTAGGTAAATTCATATCGCTACCACCTTTCATTTCAACTGGGTCTGTAATTTGGCGGAAACGGAGAAACGGGAGCATCGTGCAACAACGCACTTGCTATAATGTACTGGAATTCACAAAAAAACCCCCACAGGTACTGTACAGTCAGCCGAGTAAGATCAAAGGAGAGAAACGTAGTGAACGATTGTGGAAAGTTGAGACACGTCTACAACGATGGGTAACCAGCAGTAAGGGGGAGAAAGAAAATCAAATGAGAAATCAATGTAAAAGTTGCAGGTGTGATATTAGGTTATGGCATCGGATGAAGTCAAAGGGTACCTGCAATTTAAGTGGTTTACAGGTGATCCCACCTGTCTACATTACATCTGATATAAAAATAGTGAATTCGTCGGAAGTAGGCAACACAAGAAAGTAGAGTCGGCCAGATTCTTACCTCGATAGTTGTGGCGTAATCATTCATTGACCTGTCCCGAGCAGATATCTTACGCCTTTCCCCAGAGGTAGAAGAGAACGGTGGTTTGTAGTAACGACAGACTAAGATAACCTCGCCTGGTTTCACTTCACTTCGAAATCGGCAGGGTCGAGGTCCCACAACAGAAGCCAATACTTTGGTATTCCCTGAAAAGGTGTGAGTAAACACAGGTGGTGAGAATGTGAAAACGCACCTTGGTGCAACAGCACGATTCCATCGGAATTCCCAGTCTGGAATTGACAGAACACACGACGTAGTTCATGTGGCCGACGTCCATCGATTCTACGATTGTTGTAAAATACCTCAGCCATATATCGGGGAGCTGAAAAAGATGGGCGCAGAATTCTGAGCTCAGTCAGTCATGCTCAGGAAACAGAAGTGTGGCGGAGACAGCTGCTATGAGCAGCACAACTGCGGTGACATTAATCAGCAATAAAGAAAATAGGTAAAGATGCAAAAAATATGCATGCCTGCACTCAAGTGCATGACTCGTCAAGAAGAAGAAAGGTGAATGATAAGGGCCGGAATGGTATAGAGAAAATAGATGAAACAAAAAAGAGCTCTATCAGTAGCATCTCGTTTTCGCAGGTTGACTCTGCTGTACAGAGCAATAAAAGCAATAGCCTGAGGCTACATGATGGCCGGGGCGTGACGAGATTGAAGTGCAAGAGGAAAGCCATGACTGCACGTGGGTGCGAATGTTGCTACTGGAGTAAACACAGACAGACAGTGTGGAATAGATCGCTCCATGAATGCTGGTTGTAGCGAGTTGGAGTATGTCATTTCTGGCACTCCAGCGGACAATAGATCAAAAGATGTGCTAAGGTGGTTTGACAGAGTTTCTCCGATATGATCGTGATGAAAGAAGCCGTATCCAACTGCAATCGAAAGGGCTGCCCATTGATCAGAACGTTGACGAACTTCCTTCGATCAGGGTTGACTTGGATGGTGACCAGCAAGCTCATGAAGCTGCCAACCAGACGTTTTGCGCTTACGTTTGGATCGTGACCTCTTCGTTTGACTGCGGGTGGCGACCAAGCCAGGTTTGGCCTCCTTGGAGTAGCAATTTCTGATCAAGCTGAAACCCGACTCCGCGATAATCCAGAACGCTTCCGTACGTGGTCAGGTCCGGGTAGTCGTAGCGCCCATGCCGTAATCTCATGGGCAGCCTACCTAACGAGGCAAAGTTAGGTCCCCATCCTATCAGCGCTGATTCTGTGGTGACTGGCATTTCCACCGAAACTGCGACCTCCGCCAGCACAGAGCCAGCGTTGGGGCAGGGTCGGGCACGTGAAGGTTACAGCAATGCTGCGCCACACAAGCAGCTCAAAGATGAGCTGACCCATACTCGCCCGTGATCACCTAGCTGGGAAGTCCACGAACTGATGCAAAAGCAATTAGAGAGTCTGCTTAAGAAACTGCACCGAATGTTCCTGACGCAGAATTGCAAGAAATATCGGCTCAACAGACTTTCGGGAGGTTGCAATCCCCCGAAACTAAACACTTATTCGGCTGGTGGCCAAGTGCTATACGCGTCTGGTTTACAACCATAAGGTCCACCGGTTCGAATCCGCGTAGGGGCGCGCGTCGTCGCGGTATACTCAGCCCACGCGCAACTGGTGATGGTCGCGTGGCAGCGAATCTCCGTTATGCCCTACAGCTGGCGATTTAATATTTTTTTACTTTTTCCAGGACTCCTGTCTATCACTACAACTGTAAACTGGCTAGAGAGACTTCATGAAAAAGCTGACAGAGCTTTAACTGTCTGGTCCGATGACTGTAATGTGCGGGTCCTTAACACATCTAAGTTACAGCTGGCATAAAGTACAACGTCTCCGCCTTGACGCCCAACGGAGTGATCAGTTCTAAGCAGTGCGTTACCGTCAGTGATATCCAGAGATTCCCACGTTTCGGTGAAAGCAAGTATGTCGGGACGAGATTGGTATACAAGTAGACCCAACTCGTGTACCTTGTTCTTTAGGCTGCGCACTTTGCTAAGTACAACCTCAAGGAAGTCAGCACGATCATCCCTCGGTCGTGCGCTATCAGGATGGGTTCTGATAGGGCGGGAAATAATTTCTGGTTGATCACCTGAAAACCTACCAGACGGAGGCCGTGCTCACCAGCCGTCCGTCTAGTTTTGAGGTTTTTGATAGCCTCCTTCAACTTCAATCTAGCTGCCAGTGGAACGTCTGACTGAACGTTGACACCATTATCCTAAAGTTTGAATGCAAACCGCAGTAATAATTTGGGTTCCTCTGCGGTAAAAAAAGCCACACGAAGTAGTCGGGGTCGCGGATTCTCCGTACCGATAGGGACGTTCCCCAATCTGGTCAGCTATCTGACAGTGACACCAGGGAAGTCAGGTGGAAGAAGCTTGGTGACGCGCAGTTCGAGCCACTTGATGTCATTCAAAATGCGTTCCCTTGGGAGAGCAGCCGCAGATGCAGTGACGTTACGGAATATAACGCTACCATCCGTGAAAGAGTAGCAACGACGGGGAGCCTTTACCCCACGCGCCTCGGATTCGAGACTTACACCAGCTGTTTTCACCATTGGCGGTGGGACTGTCAGTGTCTCCGCAAACGAAGTCGTAGCAACGGTAGCGTCGGTTTTCCGTTTCATTGATGGCGTCGCACTATTTCCAGGGACTTCAAGCCCCTCCGTAGTTTTACGGGCAGATCTAGTCCGCTTCTACTTTTGGCTCACGGGAGCAGGAGCCTTTGACCTTGTGTCGCATTGAACAGTCACCAACAAGTCGTCAGAACGGGTTGCTTCAGTGGCAGCCGATACGAGCAGCATCTTCGGAATGTCCTGTGCACAACCGTCAGATGACTTTACGACTGACGAAGACTGCATCTTTCTCGATGTCGTGGCAACTATTTCTCTGGGTTTATCAGAGGGCTTATGGCATTTCTGCATCCTACTTTTCTTCACTCAGACAGCCTCATGAGGAGAGTCAGCAAGGTTATCTGGAGTGTCCGGCAGGATGTGCAGTTCCTTGACCGAGTGACAGACTCCAACAGATGGATCGTCAGCAGAGGTGCAGTCTACTGCACCGCATCTGCCGCTGCTCTCCCAAGGGAACGCATTTTGAATGACATCAAGTGGCTCGAACTGCGCGTCACCAAGCTTCTTCCACCTGACTTCCCTGGTGTCACTGTCAGATAGCTGACCAGATTGGGGAACGTCCCTATCGGTACGGAGAATCCGCGACCCCGACTACTTCGTGTGGCTTTTTTTTACCGCAGAGGAACCCAAATTATTACTGCGGTTTGCATTCAAACTTTAGGATAATGGTGTCAACGTTCAGTCAGACGTTCCACTGGCAGCTAGATTGAAGTTGAAGGAGGCTATCAAAAACCTCAAAACTAGACGGACGGCTGGTGAGCACGGCCTCCGTCTGGTAGGTTTTCAGGTGGTCAACCAGAAATTATTTCCCGCCCTATCAGAACCCATCCTGATGGCGCACGACCGAGGGATGATCGTGCTGACTTCCTTGAGGTTGTACTTAGCAAAGTGCGCAGCCTAAAGAACAAGGTACACGAGTTGGGTCTACTTGTATACCAATCTCGTCCCGACATACTTGCTTTCACCGAAACGTGGGAATCTTCGGATATCACGAAGGGTAAGGTATGTTTACCTGGTAACGCACTGCTCAGAATTGATCGCTCCGTTGGACGTCAAGGCGGAGACGTTGTACTTTATGCCAGCTGTAACTTAGATGTGTTGAGGACCCGCACATTACAGTCATCGGACCAGACAGTTAAAGCTCTGTCAGCTTTTTCATGAAGTCTCTCTAGCCAGTTTACAGTTGTAGTGATAGACAGGAGTCCTGGAAAAAGTAAAAAAAATTAAATCGCCAGCTGTAGGGCATAACGGAGATTCGCTGCCACGCGACCATCACCAGTTGCGCGTGGGCTGAGTATACCGCGACGACGCGCGCCCCTACGCGGATTCGAACCGGTGGACCTTATGGTTGTAAACCAGACGCGTATAGCACTCGGCCACCAGCCGAATAAGTGTTTAGTTTCGGGGGATTGCAACCTCCCGAAAGTCTGTTGAGCCGATATTTCTTGCAATTCTGCGTCAGGAACATTCGGTGTAGTTTCTTAAGCAGACTCTCTAATTGCTTTTGCAACAGTTCGTGGACTTCCCCACTAGATATATGGACAACCAAATACCAGCTGGTTTAGATCTGCTTTTTGCTAATTCCCTCAACTTCGTGACCGACGTTTCGTACGGTGCACCTCTAGGGTCCAGCGATCACATGTATATCCCATCGATGTGCAAGTTCAAGGCACAACAGACGGCCGTTGACTTACTTCCGAATATTTGGTGGGCGGGCTCCAGTGCAATGCGAGCTAAGGCTTCTGTTCTGGACTGTGAGATCTCTCTGGCCGACTCTGTCCAGTTAGCCTGGGATAAATCTAAGGAATACCTTACGGAGGTTTCCACTCCCTATATTTCACTCATGAGGAAAAGTGGGTTACGGGCACAGGCAAGTACATACTCAAGAAAAGGTCTAGATGCTAGCGAACCTACCAAGCAGTTCCATCAGTCAGTATCTACGACAGTTATCGAGAGATTAGAAATAAATGTAAGCAACATCTCAGGACTGCTCGTCTCCAGTACGAGCGGGGTTTAGCGAACTCGGCCGCAGCTAATCCCAAGTTTTTTGATTACGTTAAAAGACTAAGCAGGACAAAACTGTGTATACCGGTGTTATTGTGAGCAGATTAGACCCATGCGCAAACTGACTATGACAAGGCTTGTATATATATATATATATAAATATATATATATATAAAATATATATATATATACAAGCCTTGTCATAGTCAGTTTGCGCATGGGTCTAATCTGCTCACAATAACACCGGTATACACAGTTTTGTCCTGCTTCGTCTTTTAACGTAATCAAAAAACTTGGGATATATATATATATATATATATATATATATATATATATATATATATATAGTAATCTTTTTTGTTGCATACTAGCCGGCTGGTAGCTTACCGGAACGATACCCATCCGTTACCGGTATTTCAACTGGCTTGCATCTGTTGCATTTTCCCCTTTTTATATATTGCGGCACAGTAGCTGAGGAGCTTCCTACCTATATATATATATATATATATATATATATATATATATATATATATATAAGGCTAAGTAGTGAGATGGTGGTTAGAGGCGGAGGTTAAGAGGGATAGGGTGAAGCAAAGAAACTCACAGCACGAACGCCACTGAGGTCGGCTCCTAGCCATATCAGCAAGTGTGTCCAGCCAAAGGTGTTCACCGTCTTTCGGACCCCAAC